AGCTTCCCCCGCCTCCTTTCTTCCCAGGAGAGATTTCTCATGTCTACTGCATTCAGTGGAAACAACTTCACAACCGAAGACCCCTGTCCTTGAGGCGGGACCGCTGTATGGTACTTCTAGATGTTTAACTGATCAAGAAAAAGTCTTTAAAATAATGTAAATTATATCGTAGAGAACGAAGCTCTCACTCACTCACCAGTGTAAATAACCCTCTGTTACATATTTCATTCTTTCTTTATTAACTTTTTCTCTACGTTTCTTACTGCTTCTGCTAGAGACACAGTGTGGTAACAGTGTCTTCTACCACAGTCACAGGATCATGAAAACTGTTCTTTTGATTAAACAATTGATGTAAGTTAATTGGAGTGACAGAAGTTATCTCCACGCTTGCTTACTGTATGTGCAGTCAGAGAAGGGATTAATTTCCGGCCGGCCATATTCAGCAGCCAAAAATATTGAGGATGTAAAGTAGGGAAGCCACAGAAGTTTAATATGGAAAAGTTATTTGGCAACTGTATGCCCATAATGCTGGGCAGATCTAGGATTGTGAAAAGAGGGTGCAGATAATGTGGTAAATCATCACCTAGAACGCAACACATTTTTTTCCACCTAAACTAGAAGATTTACTATTATTCAGTGTACAAACAACGCAAAAATAAATACTACTTAATTGGAATGTGCACAAATTTGTTAGATTATATACAAAGTTTAAAAACTACAACAATCTAGGCAAAAGTAGTCAAAAGATATTGTTGTATTAGTCCTGTAGTCATTATGGTTAAATGTGCATCTCTTATTCAGATTTGTAAAGCAAAATCTAGCCTTGAGCATCTTGACATTGCGTCCACTGGCAGTCATTGCCACACCAAAGTTAATGTTCACCTGAGTTAATGTTTTTAGCTAGAACTAAACGCAGTCTGAAGGGCTGCAAAACAGAAGAGAGATATTACCAGAAATGGCTATATGGCAGCAAATTTGAAGACAAAAGGACAGCTGAATTAATGGAACATCAAGACCGTTAAAAAGGACAGGGTCACTAACACCTGTGGAGTGAAGAGAGATTAGCAGGAATCAGGTAGATTATAGTAAGTCATGAAGTCAATTGACTCCCTGAGTGCTGCCTGAATAGAAATGCCTCAGCTGGTTGGTTTTAAAAGTCTGGGTGAAGCAGGAATCAAATCCTGGCTTCAGATCCTGGATCTGCCCTTGCCCACGATTGCTTTTCACAAGAAACATATGCTTGCAAAGACTGGTTAAGTAGAAGAAGAAAACCCACCTCTCTGATGTTAAATAACTGAAGTCAGTAGGGGTGCACCAATAAAGATTTTCTTGGCCGATACCATTGGCCAATTATTAACCAACCTTATTGGCCGATACCAATCGGATAGCTGATTTGCGGGAATGCAGCCCAGCAGCTTGGAAAGCAGCCTCCTGCTAGTAAATCTGGGGGGGAGGTGGTAGGGAGACACAGACTGATGCCCCCGCAGCGAGGGAAGGAGCGGGGCAGGGGCAGGCGCTGCCCAGCCAGGGCGGTGAATGGGAGTGGGACAGAGCTGCAGGTCCAGCATTTTCAGTTACAGCAGGATGGGACAATTATTTTCCTTTTCTCAAGATCTTGGCTGATGCAGACATTGTTGACTGAATATCTTTCAGTGCCTACCCCACAGCACAGGATGTAGATCACAACGTTGAACCAGCTTTGCTGAAAATATCAGGCTGTAATTTTGTAGGCATTTGGTTTTACGCACGATGAACGTGCATAACGGAGCCAGCCACATGGTAGAGCAACGCACAAGTCATCTGTACAACCTCAGGCTTTGCTTCAGTTTGTGAAGGGAGGATGAGTTGAGACCTTTTCCACTGCTTAGTACTTGCAGTGAATCCTGATTCACGGCTCAGATGAATGCCGGCGAAGTCAAGCATTAAGCCCAAACACAAACGTTTTGCTAACGGAAAAGAAGCTCCTCATTGTTATACACCAGCACCACCGTGTGGCCAATCAAGAACCGAGACACGTAAAGTGGTCACGACATTACGCTAAATCCTTGGGAGATACAGGAGGAGGTTGAGGTGACATTAGTTTTAAAGAACACAAAGTGGTAAGGGGCCAAGCAGAGACAGACGTGGTTAAAAGAAATGTGTGTCTGTGAAATGCTCCCAGGAGCAGGCCAGGCAGACTACCCAGAACAATGTTATAAAGGAAACAGGCTTGGGCCCAGCGCTTTCATCTGGAACTCAAACACGGGCACGTACTCAATGCCATACTTCCATTTCATACGGAAAAATTTAACGTCGAAATGCCACCAAAATGAACGGTCAGCACCATTAAAGTGCTGCGTATAATGAAAATGAAGTCACCTTTATTGAGGCCAATGGTGCCACGTGCCCTCAACTGTTCAACAGCCAAGAGAGGAACCTCAGCATCCCGAAGGACCTGACCCAGAGATCATAATTAGCCTAAAAATTCAAGCTAGACAGGTTTTGTTTTAAATGTCATAGCACAAGCTTTGCCTCTGCATACAGTCATGAGGTGAGAGTTGATTGACAAACCATATAACATGCAGGAGAAGTACTTGAAACTAAAAATCACAGCCCTCCTCCCGCAAAAAAAATGTCACTGTTGCGCCTGCTCATGTCTGCTCCCATACATGTCAAATGGGACAGGTCTGCAATGCAATGATTTGTGGTTAAAAGGGTTTACAGAACAACATCTGCTACAATATCAAACTTGGCTTAACATTCTTGCTTTTTGTTACAAGCCATGCTGTATTGTGAACCTAGGAAAAATCACACATTTGTTCCTAAAGTTTCTGCAACAGCTCCAGAGCCCTTGATACTGCAGTTTCTTTGACTCAGGAATGGAAATGTGAGGGTTTTTCTTTTGGAGATGGCAGGGGAATTTTCAAACTTCAATGTCACAGAAAGTGTTTTTGACCACACAAGATGCAGAACAGTACAGAGTTAAATACAACCAAGAGAGTCCATTCAATGCTGGGTCACCTGCCCCTGGAACGTGATCATCTCTATCCAGACGATGGGTTCAGGACAGAAGACAGCAGCCGCTGTTTCTTCTACATTAACTGTGGGTCCCAGATCTTTTCTGGAGGATCCTACGTCTAGGAGCAAACACACTCTGTTGTCAAATGAGTCCTCTAGGTCCCTGCAGGGTGGATACCTTCTGACCTGCAAACTTGACTGAGACCTTAGGCTCATCTCAAGGTAGGCTGGGTGACTTGAAAAGAATATGATTACTGTTAAAATCTGATAGATCTGAGTGAGCAAATAAATAAGAAATTATTAATTCCCATACCAAGTTGCTGTGTATGGCCAACACACAGTTCAATGACAGCACTTATCCAGAGACTAACGGTAAAAAAACTGGTTATACGTTCCAAAGATAAATATAATTAATGCTCTTCACTAAGATGTACTTTTTATGTATATTATGATAATAATCTGAAGTTTCTTCAGATCAGAAACAGGCCATTTTTTCAACTCTTTTTCAGCTCTATTTGTGTATTTAGCAAATAACTTAGTGCGTGTAACAGATTGCCATAGTGGGCTCACCAGATTGGCTTGAGATACTTACCCTGGGCTAGAAACAGCGCCGGTGAAGTCTGAGCCAGCCCAAAGGTGGAGCAGGGAAGCTGATCGAAAGAAGGGGTTTTCAATCCCCTCACTCGCAGGGAAGGGGGATGGCCGGGGCTGGGGGCCCGCCATCCTGAGCCCTGGCTGGCTGGTTTGCAAGCCAGGGAGGGCTGCCAGAGGGGATAAAAGCAGCAGCTGAACTGGCGTGGGGGCTGCTGACAGTGACTCTGGGGAACAATGCAGGAGGCCTAAGAAGAGCTGGGGTGAGCTGACCCAGCCGAGGGAGCAGAGAGACCCTTCTGAAGAGCCTCGACGGCCCTGGGAGAAGAAGGCAGCAGCAGTCGGCCGTGCCTCCAGCCCTGCAGCAGAGAGGGAGCAGCAGCCAGGGCTTGGGGCAGAGAGCTGGTACCCCCATCGCCCCATCGCAGTGTGCTGGACATGCCGGACGCACCGGAGGGCTGGGGTGGCAGTCGGCCCCCCACTCCACTGCAGAGAAGAGGCAGCGGCCAGAAGCGTAGGCAGCATCCTTATGCAGAGCAGGGAGCTGGGCCAGTGAGTTGAGGAAACCCCTCACCTTCCCTGGGGAAGCAGGACAGCAGCAGGCAAGTCACTGGGATCCTGAGGAGCAGCAGAGCACCAGGACAAGAGTCCCCGGGAGCTCAGGGCGCAGGCTGGCGCTTGGAGCAGGATTGGGGAGCCGTGAGGCGTGTGGGGTGCCCACCAAGTCATCTGGAGCAGGGGTTTAGAGCAACAACTCCTGGGAGCTGCCTGTGCTGCTGACCCTCTGCCACTGACTGCCCCAGGGGAGACTCAGTCCTGTCCCTTATTCTGCAGCTGATTGCCATTGGATGGCATCCGTGAGCTTTGTGCTTGGGTCATGCTGATTGCTGCAGGAGCCTACTTTGTTGCTTGCCTTTTTGGTTGCCACGGAGGGTCGCCCTTCAGCCTCTTTGGGGGGTTGGGGTTTGATACAATTTGATTGCTGCAGACCAGAAGAGCTTAACCTGTTGCAGTCTGCCGCTTATTGGGAAGCCTGTTGGAGCTGCGGGGAGTGGCCCCCTTGTTTCCTTGTGGTAGCACCTCAGCGGTGGCTGAAAGCTGCCAGTTCCCCTACCTGTGGCTCCTGAGCCAAGGGTTGACTAATGCGTTCTGGGTTGTTTTGCCATTTAAGTTCACTTGTAAATCACCTTTCCTATTGTTCTTGTTTTGTAAGTAAAGTGTAAATAGTTAAATCAGTTAAGTGTTAGACCTTCTTGGGACCACGGGCTGCTCTGTGGGGAGCAGGAGCCAGCTGGAAAGTAAATTGGTGCTGGCCGGAAATTGGCCCTGCCCCACTGTCACCACACCACCCCTGATATTGGGCAGGGGTGGCAACTATTGGGCCACCACCTGAGTTACATGTGCATTGTATCGAATGAATTTATTTCTCATAACAAGATACAGGAAATGCACTGTTTTTGGTTCAACTGTACAGGATACAGATTTTGCTTTAAAAGAAAAAGTACATATGCACAGCAGGTCAAATGTACATTGAGCTGAACATCTTGTTCATACAATAATACTGTATAAAACATGTTAATACATGGGCATGAGCTGCTCTTATTGCTGATGTCACTGTCTGGCAGAGTAATTTTCTTCTAAAATTAAAGTTTGCAAAATGAAAAAAAAATAAAGACACTTTGGAGAAGCAGCTCCGGATAACAGCATTCAGATTTGACAAGACTTCTGTCTAGTCTTTTCACCTGTTCTCATTGCAGCTGTGCCTCAAACATTTCAATTAAAAAAAATACAGGAAAACCTTTTTGTAAAGTATACAGAACAACAATAAGGCAAATGTATTTAACCTTTATGGGACAAAGGTCAGTCCAAGGAACTCTAATAAACCTTCAGTGAATTATACTGACTATTAATGCTTACAAGGTTTCAAACATATGCCTCTACACAAACACAAAAGTTAATTTACCAATTCCAGAAAGTAAATTCTTCATATTCAAAATGATCAAGTCATTGCTGCTCTATAAATACATCACAGCCAATCACACGCACAGGTGTGATAACTACTCCTATTTAAGTACTCACCTACTGGCCAATTTCTAAAAAGTAACACTTGGCACATCAAAAAGATCAAAACGCTGTAAGGAACACACCGCACACCACCCCCAGTCCTATCCTGCAGCACTGCTATCTGCATGCCCTTCTGTCACAAATACTTAGCTTTGTTCACATTGCCCACTTTTAAAAATACTTCCTTAATAAGGCACTGGATTTGGGACAAGATTTTCACTTACAATGGGAGTTAAGTACCTGAACCGGGATACCTAATTCCAACTAAGATAATCAGACAGCCATGGCTGCCTCTGAAAATCTCCCCCTCTCTCCTTTTTCCACAGGCAATGGGTGTTTCCTTACATTGCTAATGGAACTGAAATGTAAAAGTATGGGGCACAGCTTAACAGCACACCAGTATAAATGAGGCAAGCAGAGCCCTGAGAATCCTGTTCAGTCTGCTACCAGTGTCGGCAGAAGACAAAGCTAAAAAACACTGTTTTGTTGTATAGTTTAGATAAGGAAGTCAGAAGAACGCAGAGGGCATTCTCCTTAGTCATAAAAAAAAGCCAAGCAAGTCACATTTTGGATCCACACTGCTTGACATTATTAGTCATTTTTAAACACTCTCTATAAGCACTTCAATTTTACAAGTGCCTCTATGTTAAAACTCAGCACTTGAAGGAAAAAAATATGCACATGGGAAAAAAATATACACCTTTAGCATGTTAGCTACCACTTCTACGCTAGGATTATAAAACATGTTAGCTGAAAAAACCAAGCCGGGTGCCTTGGATTGAATCTGACCAGCTAACACTTACTGAAACTAGAACGGCTATTAATACTGTGTTTGCCAACATCTCTGCTGGGCCCAAGTCTCTTGAGATACATTAGTTAACACAGCAGAATTGGGGTTGGGTGCTCAATTAAACTTAAAGTTTCTCAGCTTTTTAGTGTTGCAAAAGGTGCTGTCAGGGCCTGGAGAGTAGTTCTCTACCAAGGAGCAACAGAAATACAAGCATTTCTGTATTGCCATAGTAGGATGTCTCAACCATGTTATGGCCAGACCACCTGCAAGAAAAATCCTTTTCTGTTCATTTAGCTCTTGGCTTCTGTGCACTGGCGGTATTTAAATAAAACAGAACACAGATGTTTTGATTCCTTAAAAAGTAAGAGGTTTAGGATGCATTTGTAATTAAAAATGTTTTGAGTTCACATTTCTTTCCGGGCTTCAGCCAACTTGAGTGAAGTCAGTTAAAAACTATCGGCTTTAAGAGATTTGGTCCACATATACTGGCAGTAAATAGTTCTCAAAATCGCTCAAAGGTTTCTCCCTGTTCCTGCTAAATTGTATTCTAGTGAGACAATCCCAGAGCAAGTGGCCAGAAGACTTCAGTGCTGATTTAAATGCACATTTGTGGAAAACTGGGATAAGGAAACAGGCATGGTATAACAAAGCACTTGAGTATGTTCCTGAAGTTAAGCACGCACTTAAGCTGACCACACTTTAAGTGCTTGATGAATCAACCCCCCACCTCAAAGAGGTGCAATGACTTGCTCGAAGTCAGGTGGCAGCCTGAGACTACAATTTGGGTAAAGTGGAACATTTCATTTCTTTATAGCATCCGCGCTCTGGAAGATTATCTGCAGGACATACACCGCCTTACCTTCTGCTCAATACGTTAGTTGTTTACGCCTCATACCCAACAACTTCCACAATCTTAACGCGAGTAAAGCACAACTCAATTGTATTGACCTTTATAAAAATATTATCTAAATTATCTGGCCACTGTTGAAGAATAGCTTAAAATTCAAAGTAATGAAAGAATTAAGCTTAACTTTACATGTAAAAAGGGTAAGTGTCCAAAAGCTTGCAAGGAACCTTTTTCCAATGACACAGTTGGGCTAATAAAAGATATCACATCTACCCAAAGATCCTTGCCTGCAAGTACAAGTTTCATTTCAATGCAGATAGGGCTGTTAGCTGAAGACACAACTTCGGAAGAGTGTACAAAACTCTGGGACACGGAAGGATGTCAGAGCCTTCTCAGTCTTAGAGCGAGGCAGAAAACAAGCTATTCTACTAAGATTGTATCAATCTTTTCTTGGACAAGATAAGACTCCAACGAAGGGGATGAATTTAAGGCACCTCGAGATTGGCTGAAAGTTTTTACTGTGGTGTTGTTGTCGTTACAAGGGTGAAACCTATGGCCCACTGGGTTACCAAGCCTTTGGCATCGGTTAGATTTGAACTGCTTATTTTTGTGCGTGTACATGTGTTCCAGCAATTGGCTCTTTCGGAGAAATCTGTGGCCACACAACGAGCAACTGATTTTCCTCTTTCGTGTAAAAGAAAAGTTACAGTTTAACTCCACGGGCTCATTGTCTTTGGAAATTAGTGACAACTGGCTAATCTGTAATGGCTCTGCGTGACTACGGTTTGGATGTTTCAACTGGTGCTCGCTCTCTTTTATTAGAAAGGTTCCCATCCTACGACTTTCAAGAGCCTCCCGGTTCTCTGTAATAGGCTGCACTTCACCAAGGTCATTGCTTTCGAGGATGGAAGCTGGGACACTGAATGGAAGAGACCCCGATACGGGAATACACAAGTGTTCCCGCAGATTGCCATGCGAATCAAAACACTCCCCACAGTACTGACATAAATGCATTTTGAGGTTTGTTTTAGAAAATGTAGGACCTGCAACATCTGGAGCGGGGGATACACGACTCTGGGACACCATCAGCTCAGGGTCATATTTCTCCTGCTTTATAGACACCAATACTTTTGGAAACTCCTCCACCAGTTTGACAGCTTCAGGTGCTTGAACGGAAGGATGGGTAATTTGTTGTTCTAGGGTGCCATCATCCAGGCCAATGGCGAGGGAGAGTTGTAACTGTGGGTGGTCACCCTGGGCAGCAGGCCTCTTTCCAGTGTTTGTTGTATTTTCTTTCCTTGCAAGACCTTTCTTGGCTGTTTTGTGCGCAGTCGAGATCTGAATTCCATATAGGTTTGAAGACTTCTCGGCCTCTGGGGAAGACACCCGATTCATTTCAACTGCGATACGGGAAAGGTAGTCTGCATGAAGAAATCGAATGCCCTCCTCCAGTTGGCTGTGACTCACGCTCTGCTTTGGCCCTTTCCCAGTGTACATGATGTGCAACAAGTAGCTGAATATGTCTGGCTGGATATCTGTAGGCTGAATCTTTATGCAGTCACTGCTTAAAACAATACTCATGATTAAATGCATGCATTTCTCTAAATGCTAGTCCTGTTCCAGCATCTAAGCAATCATAGGACCTGTTATTTGTCTTTTCCAGCTTCAAAATCAATGTAACATTATAGCCAAGATCTGCAGAACTATTCATGTCTAATTTGGATAAAGAAGCGCATGAAATGGTAGTGCCTGTGCTCACAACCCTAGAAATTGTGTGTGAAAGTGTCTAGTCAGCCACACAGCTGGTTATTTGTATTCATAAGTGGTGTACGTGTGCATTCAAATAAATGATTGCAACTGCACGCTATGAGGGCACCAACTGTGCAATTCTGAAAATCCAGGCCTCAATATTTCTACAAAAATAGGTAATACATTTGACAGTTTCAGTTGCTTATCACCAATCTCACTAAGTGGGACTGACCATAAATAATGCTCAGTACTAATCTCTAACTTCAGATCATTAAAAGGCTTCACAAATTGCAAGTAATGAACCGTCAGCAGCCTCCTCAGATAATTGCCACCACCATTTTACAGAAAGGAAGACGAAGGAGCCTGATTGGTGACAGACAGAAGCACTAGAACTAGGGACCTACAGAAATCGAGTCAGGCAGGAGGCCAATTTCCTGGGCTGACTGCAGGGCCGGCTGCTATTTTCACAGGGTTATTGCAGCAGAGTCCCCCCCCCCCCCCCAGCCTATGATTGGCTGAGAGGCCCTGGTGGCCCCACCCCTCACCACTGACTGGCAGAGAGGGGCAGGGTCACACAATGGGCAACCCACTCAGCCAATCAAGGGCAGGGGTGGCCATCATTGGCTGCTCCCCTTCACACTGGCAGCTTCCCACTGCCCCCCTCCTGCCCGGCTGGGGAGCCAACATTGTTAGGAATTAGGTATCGCTAATTTTTAGAAGGGGGGGGGGGGGGGTTATTTCAGAGATTTTGCAGACAATGCCCGATGTCATGGATAATGCCCAATTCTGCAGGTTCTGCAAAATCGCAAATTGAGTAAGACTTGAACTATCAGAATTCAGGAGCTGCCCGAGGCCATGACTGCGTAGAAGCCATGTGTATCCAACCAAGATTCAGCATCTGAATGTCAGCGATAGGCAGAAGGCATTCGTTGCTGTACTGTATTTGAAATAAATTTATGATTTTCGTCCCTTATCTGAAAGCCTGCAACACAAAACTGCACATGGTCACCCTTATTGCTTAACTTCCCCCACGAATTAATGTCTTTGGAGGCTGATTTTGGAAACTAAGGTGCAGTGTTCCAGGATTGCTGAGGCCTAAGCAGTGACGAGATCCACTGAATGAAGAAGAGGCACAGCTTCTTTGTACCCAGGTTTGCTGGCCTAGTAAGGAGAATTTTAAACTAGCTTCAACCGGGGACGGAGACAACAGCTCACCGATAAGTAAAAAAACACGACGACCTGGATAAAGATACATGAAGAGAAGGCAGTAGAGAGAATCTTAGCAAGACAATAAGCTAGTCAGATAAAGATGCTTATATACTAATACAAGGGGTATGGGCGGGGAGCAGGAAGAACTACATCCTAGTAGATAGTCCACACAACTGGAATACTGATATGGATGAGTGCTGCTTGTTCAGGAAGGCAGACAGAAAAGAGAGACAACATTGCATTGTACATTAAAAGATACATATGTACATATACACATATAGTTGTTCTGAGATATGGAACAAAGAGAGAAGTAGACCTGCTGACAGCACCTGGGCTCAGATAAAAGAGGAAGACAGTAAGGGCAATGTCATGATGGATGTATGCTCAAGACCACCATACTAAGGAAGAGGAGGTAGACAAGACTTTTTTTAAACAACTAATGGAAGCATCCAAATCATAGGAACTAGTGTTTCTGGGAGACTTTAACTATTGTCATATCTAGTGCAAGGGTAATATGGTATTCCACGCAACAATCCAGCAAATTCTTGGGGGACAACTTTTTGGTGCAGATGGAGGGCAAAGGAAACTCTCCCATTTACTGCTTACTTAAGAAGGAATTAGTTGAGAATGTGAAGGCGAGGTGGGCAACAGTGAAATAACAAAAGGATGAAATCATCCTAAAGAAAGGAAGAAGAACAAGATAAAAACATTGGACTTCAGGAACGCAGACTTTAACCAAGTCAATAAGAAGTGCAAAAGAGTATGCTAGCCTTCTGTAAAGAAAGGACAGAAGACGTAGCAAGAGACCAGTATAGCTGAACAGCAGGCTCATCCACAACTTGAAACAGAAGAAGAAATCTTGTTAAAAAAGAAGTAGCAGCTATTTGGCAACTAAAGAAAAGTACGAGAGTATAGCACAAGAAGACCATGGCGCGAGCAAACACACAGCCAGGAGGGTACACAGGGACAGAAGAGGTACCAAAAGGGCATTCTATAAATGTGTTAGAAGTAAGACAAGGTTCCTTGGGTGAATTTGATATCTTTTATTAGACCAACCCAAATGGCTGGAGAATAGTTATTAAGCAAGCTTTCGGGTTCAAAAACCCTTTGACAGGCTAAGGAAGCTTCAGCAGTTGGTGTGTGCTCTTCCTGGATGGAATGAAAAGAGTAAGAGTAAGTAGAAGTAAGAGAAAGGCAAAGAGAAGTGTGGGCTCTGTACTGATGGGGAGGGGAAGCTAATAATGGATAATGCAGAGAAGGCTGAAATTTTTGGTGCCTTTTTTATTTCAGTCTTCACAGAGAAGGCTCACAACCTGATGACAAGCAGTTTACAGCAGTGATACAGGGTAGTAAATACGTCTTGTAGCGATTACTCAGAATAAACTGGGTGTTTCTAGTTAGCAGGGGCAGATGAGATTTGTCCTAGAGTACTCAAGGAATTAGCTGCGGTAATTGCAAAGCCATTGGTTACCACTTTTGAGAACTCATGGAGGTTGGGTGCAGTCCCCGAAGACTGGAAAAGGACAAATATAGTGCCCACCTTTCTCAAAGGGAATAAGGAGGACCCATGGAATTACAAACTGAGCAGTCTAGACTCAATACCCAGAAGGATACTGGAGCAGAACAAAGAATCAGTTCTGAGAACCTCGATGATAACAAGGTGATAAGGAAGAACCAACATGGATTTCTCAAGAGCAAGTCGTGCCTTGACCAACTTGATTTCCCTCTGTCACAGCATGACAAGCTTAACGACTGGGAAGAGGGCAGTGGGTAGAATACACTTTGGCTTTAGTGTTCTCCAGGTAAGCTGAAGCTCTAGATCTAGGCAAGTGCATAACTGGTTAGAAAATCAGGCTCTAAGAGTGGCCATCAGTTGGGTGGAGATGTCCAACTGGGAGGAGATATCAAGTGGGGCTCCCTATAGTCTGCCCCAGATCCAGCACTGCTCAGTATCATAACTACTTATTTGGTGGGTGAACTTGTGCACACTGAAATTTGTGGATGACACCACGGTAAGTGAGAGCACACGCTTTAGAGGACAGGTCTTGGATTTGAAATTGGAAAAATGACCTGGAATAAAATTGGATGACATTCAGTAAGAACATATGCAAAGTATTACACTTAGGATGGAAAAATGAAATCACAGATGCAAAATGAGGAATGTCTGGCTAGACTGACGAAGTGGATCTGGGGGTTAATGGTGAACTGTGAGCTAAGTCACCAGTATAATGTTGCAAAAAGTGAATACTCCCCCTCAGCTTTCTCCTTTCAGAAGTGGAGAGTCCTAACCTTCTCAGTCTCTCCTGGTATGGCAAGTGCTCCCTGCCCCAATCATTCTGGTTGCCCTTTCCTGTACCTTTACTAATTCTGCTACATCCTTTTTGAGACATGGGGACCAGAACTTCACATTGTTCAAGTCATGGGGGCACCATGGATTTGTATAGTGGCATGACGATGTTTTCTGTTTTGTTTTTAAGATTCTGTACGTGCCACTTAAGAAAACTATACTATTTCAACATTTTTCTCTCTAGTCTCATATAGGGCACCTCTTTAAAAGGGGAGTAGTGATATATGTTGGCCCTGAATTTTGGCTTATTCCAATTAACAAAGTGCAGTCATAAAACCATTCTAACATGACATCCTGGATTGGAAATGATCTGGGTTAGGAACCTTAGCCTTCAGCGTTTTATGTAACCTAGCAAACCATCTAGCACCGTACTGATGTCTTTTCAGAGCACAATTCCTTTGGAAGAAAGAAACAATTAAAAGCCTTAAACATGTAGAAAGTGAACCGACATATTCTTACCTTGTCTGGTGAATGAATATCATCTTAAAATAATTTGAAAAAGCAGCGAGCACAGCTCTGTGAGCTTTGAAGTAGACATCTCCAATGGCCACCGTACAATCGCACAAAAATCCGAACTCACGTTGCGTGTTCAACTGCTGCAGAAGAACAACACTATGGCTAGTCATATCCATGGTGTTTCTAAAAACAAGAGTGAAAAAAAGTGTTTCACTAAAATTCAGAACTGTAGTGCTGCCTGATTAAGTTAAAAGTGCATAGTGAGCAGGACAAACAAAGTTTGAAGATACTATGGATTCTCTGAAACAGTACGTCAACACCCTCCAGATGGCACGTGCAGCACAAACTGATATCATTAGGTGTGTCCAAAACCTATTTTATTAAGAACACAAGAAGTGGCATACTGGGTCAGCCCAATGGTCCATCTAGCCCAGTCCAGGCTCCGACAGTGGCAGAAGTGGATGCTTTAGAGGGCAAGTGCTGAACTGGATCTGTCTAGAGTAATCTATCCCCCTATTAATTACCTTCCCTGGCATTTTTGGTTTAGAGATGCCAGAAGAAACATCTTCAACTGTTCTGTTCAACAGCTATTAACAGATCTATCATCCATGAATTTGTTTAGTTTAAACCTGGCTATGCCATCTGTCTCTGCCACCTCCTGTAATAACGAGTTCCACAAGTTAACTGTGTGCTGCAGAAAAAAAGTACTTTCTCTTGTTAATTTTTAAACTGTCACCTGCTCATTTCAGTGGATGCCCCCTAATTTTAGGATTTTGGGCCTTGGTGAATAACAGTTCCCTTTTTACTTTGTCCACATCCTTCATGATTTTATAGACCGTTATCGTATCCCCCTCAGCCGCCTTCTTTCCAAACTGAGGTCCTAGCCCTTTCAGACTCTCCTGGGATGGCAGCTGGACCCCTGATCATTTTGATTGCCCTGCTTTCTACCTTTTCCAGTTCTACTACATCCTTTTTTGAAATGTGGAGACCAGACCTGTACACATTATTCAAGACATGGGCACACCAGGGATACAATTGTATAACGGCATGATGATGTTCTCAGTTTTGTTTTCAATTCCCTTCTTAATAATAACCAACATTTTTCTGATTTTTTGCTCACTGCTCTAAAAACAGCAGCTCAGTATGCAGAAGTATCTACCGTGACTCCCAGGTCTCTTTCCCGAGTCAGAACAGCTAGTTCAGAACCCAGCTCCGAGGTTATTTTTCCCCATGTGCATTATCTTGCACTTCTCAACACTGAAGTTCATCTGCCATTTTTCAGCCCACTCGCTTGGCTTGGTGAGATCTTTCTGCAGCTCCTCTCCGTCAGCTGGGGATTTGACTACCCAGAATAATTGGGTACCATCTGCAAACTTGGAGATTTCACTGTGCAGGCACCCCCATTTCCAGATCACTGATGAAAATGTTGAACAAAAGTGGGCCTACCAAAGATCCCTGCAGGAGTCCACTTTCGACCTCTGTCCATCCTGAAGGGTGACTATTCAGCCCTACTCTTTGCTTCCTATCCTTTAACCAGCTCCCAATCCATGCAGACACTTTCCCTCCAATCCTGGTTTTTTTTTTAAAGCCTTTGTTGAGAGACCTTGTCAAAAGCTTTTTGGAAGCCCAGATATGTCAGCTCAATCCCCCCTATCCATGTGCTTATTAACCCCCCCAAAGAACCCCAGCAGATTGGTGAGGCAGGATTTCCCTTTGCAAAAACCATGCTGACTCTTCCCCATCAGATCTTATCTGTCCATACGCCTCATTTTATTCATTATGATAGATTCTTCCCAGGATCAACTCTTTTTAAAGGTGGGTGTTATGTTGGAAACCTGCTAGTCCTCTGGCACAGAGGCTGTTTGTAAGGATAGGTTACATATTACCGCCAAGAGTTCTGCTATTTCACCTTTGAATTCCTTCAGAACTAATGATTCCTTAGTTTCTTTACGGTGTGTAGAAACTCAAAGTTATTTCTAGTAAAGGGAAGCATTTCGCATGAAAACTCTGAAGTTATTCCATCGTAAAGATGTCAGGGAGTCCTGAACACGGCTCACCCCTTTTTGCTCTGCAGGAGTGTGTCACTACCTCCCTCCTCCCACGTACTCTGATCCCAGAAGCAGCTCAGCCTCAATCACAATGATCAGCATGTGAGAGAAGAGGATTGTGAAGGCCAGTTTCACAGGAGTTGAGATGCGCAGGCCAGTGATCTCACACCCAATGCTATAAGGGGACCCAAGGGAAAGAACAACGATCACAGGCCATGACTCAGTTTCCCTTCTTCCTCCTGAACTGAGCCTGGGACGGAGGATGCTCACCAGTTGTAGCGCCATACATGGTGTTTAGAAAGTTTGAGTTCTGCCTGCTCAATCGATATGGTTTTTGGAACAACTGAGCTCTGCTTAATCAATAGGATCTGGAACTGATTTGAGCTGGAATACAAAATATATAATTTTTAAAAAATTGGCCAAGAGATTCTTATTAAAGAGGAATGGGCAGAAATATAGAAACCTGAACCTGCATTGTATAAGACTCCCCCACACACAGGCAGGGGGATGGGAGTCTGGAACTTGCTTCAAACCCTGGGTCCTGAGACATGGCCACCCAGCGAGTACGCGTGTGTATTTTCTGCAGTACATAGTTGCTCTTGTTAATACTGCCTGCCTGACAACATCCCAATAAGCCAGTGTATCAGCTCAAAGAACTTGCTTTGGATTCTCTTGTACTTCTAGGGATAAAATAAAAGGCCCCAGAGACACCGCGGGTGTAACAAAGACACAGCTGTAATTGTACCACACACACACAGGCGTAAGAGCATGTGTGCCTATCATCATCCATGCACAGAAGAAAGACTACACCGTGTTACTACTGCAACACGTCCACTGTGCGATGAACAGCGATTCCTACACCTGTCCTTTAAACAGAACTGGCAAGCCCACTGTGGAAAAAAACACTGTTTATTTGCCAACAATACATTTGTTTCATCTGAAAAACTTTAGGGAATCTTAAGGCCAAGCAAAAACTGATCTCTGACAATATTTAAACACAACCTCCCCCCCTCTCCGCCCCCAAAAGAGCCAACCCACAAGCAGATTCTTTCATTAAGATGCCCCCAAAACCTCCCATATGGAAATGTGAAGTAAAGGTTTACAATAGGCAAGTAAACTGTATTATTTCCATAGTCAAACTCTAAGACTGTTCAATACCTTTAATAAGCAACAAAGGTAAGCTGCTCTAAAGAGGCTCCGTCAGAATCGCTGTAACAGCAGAGCTAGCTAACAAAGCACAAGTCTTTTTAAAAAGTTAGATAAAACTAGCAAATACACGCGACCAGCTTGGAGCAGATAAAGCTCAGAAGCGGCATCTCAGAAATACCGCATCTAGAAGCTTTTGACTTCCAGTATCTCACCGTGCTTCCAGTAATACTGCTGAGACCTGCCCCTTGTTACCCCTGAAAAAGGTAAAATAAAACCCACGCGGTACATTCCTGTCGCCTCTGTGAGCCACACGGGTGCAGGGGATCCTCACCGGCAGGGCGCCCTAAGCAAAAACATGAACCAGGCGTGCGAAGGAGGGGAAGAAATACACAACTTCTGAGATCACCGTTTTCAGCTGAGTTCCTCTAGCTCGCAAAGCAAGAAAAATGTTTCAGGTCCAGCCCAATCCTTCAGGAGGATGGTGGATAAAGAAACAAACTAACTGTGTTGGTTTGAAACAAAGGCGTGGAGGAGTGGGGCTGGCAGGGACCTCCAGAGGTCTGGTCCAGCCCCGGCGGGAGGCAGGGGCTACACAGTGCACCGCCTACCCTCACCCCACGGCACAGCGCCCTGCTCCCATCGCCCTGGGCACACTGCCGTGTCCCCGCACCCGTCTGTCTGACCGCGGGTGTAACCCCTCCCTGGCCCCGGGCCCGGCCAGCACCTCCGCCCCAAGCCCCCGCATGGGCTGCAGCACCCCGGCTCCCGGCCCCGCACACGATCCGGGGGCAGCAGCCCGAGGCAGGGCCCCCCCGGGCCCGGGCGCCCCCCCCCCCGCCC